AACGAGTCGATGATCACATTCTTCCGACGATGTTGTTGGCTTCCAACTGGTATTGACGTGAAATGCCTCTTCTGTACCACGCCCAAAAGCCCCATCTACAAAAATGTTGAGGAATTGTGTCCCACTCTGTTTCATCAAAACAAAACTACAGTTAAACCCCCAGATGCGACATAATTGGTGCATCAAGAGTGTCCCTAAGTTGAATTGTCCCTAAGTCAAGTCTTGTTTTCCCATAGACTTACATTATTTAATTTTTAATTGGTGTTTTATGGAAGGAATATTCTCCAGAATTCCATGAGAAATTTTTTTTTGTCACTTGAATTTGATTCAGTGAATACCTTTTCAACCCAATAAGAACATTTGGAGCCATTGAATAGTATACTGCTGTATAGTTCATTGAAATTTTGGCATCTGTAAAAATAATATCCAAGTCACAAAGAGAGAAGAAATTCCCACTGTGCTATAGGTAATTTTTTTAAATCAGCTGAATGGATGGGAATGTGATGGGAAAAGTACCAAAGAATTTTTCTCGCATAGATCTTAGCGTTGGAAATGTCTGTTTCTTGCAATTAAGCATAATAAAAGTCAATTTTCATAAAATGTATTGCCAATTTTATCATGCAATGTCCTCATGTCAAGACAGTGTCCCTAGGTTGGTCCTTTTTATGATTTTTTTATTGAAAAATAAGTGTCCCCATGTCAAATTGCCCCCATGTCAAGGGCATGTGGGGGTCTCACTTTATTGAAATAAATAAATGCAGTGCAGCACACTAATAACTAGGAAAAGCTATGAAATCTTGAATTGACCCTTCAAAATTGCATAACCCAATAAAAAACCACGGCCAATGCAAGAAGCTTTAAAGATCAAACCACCTCCATAAACGCATTATTACTTCTTGAAAGCCATCTAATAAAATGTTCATAGAGGAACTAAAAACTTCTCTTATTCAAATCTCAGTCTACTGATCCTGCCGTTTGAACTGGTTACTTGTGTGAAATTTGCGAGAGTGGGAAATGCTAAATTGTTTATAAAGAATCATAAGTAAAAACTACCCGATATTTCATCCGAACTCTCTGGCCAATCTCAGGCCTATTCTTGCGGCTGAATTTTTCTGAAAGCTGATCCGAAAATTAATTATTTTTGCAGCCATCTGTGACTCATCTCTATAACGAAAATTGTGATAATTGGCGGGATTTTTAGCATAACCTGCTCCAATTGAGCTGAGCATTAAAACTCACTGTTTTTACAGCTGGTCGAACCCTCGGCAGCAAAATTTTCCGTTTTTGTGGTCATAATTTCTTGCCCAAAATCCTTTCGCTATTCGATACATACACCGGGTTTTAGCAGTTTTCTGACGACTTCCTCTGCAGATCGTTGTTGCAGAACTGTCGTCGTTTGTGCAGAAGCAAAAAAAAGGCAAAATGAAAAACTGGAACAGCAATAACCAACGAAAAAATCCTTGGACGATGGTTTACGAGCAACTGGGTATTTTTCTGCATTCAAGGTTGCAGCGCAATCACTTTTGCGGCGCCGTCAGCAGCACTTCGAAGAAATTTGGAACCGCTGATTAGCATCCCTTCGACTCAGACTCCAAAAAAAAAACAAAACAAAAAAAAGCAGCAGGGAAATTTGTGCAGCATAATTTACTCAAGCGCGGCGCTGGCGATTTTATTATTTTTCAATTTTGTTTCGCAAAAATGCGTCGAAAACCACGAAATTGACCAGAGAGTGAGAGAGAGAGAGCATATATACAAGCTTGCATGCATACAAAAGGGTCTTATGATGTAATAAAGGTGCGATTGCAAGACTGATCGATATCCACGCTAAAACTTCACGCAATAACTGACGCAATTTCGTCAAGGAATCATTTTTCTTTTTTTCGGCAATTTCAAAGCCCTCGCTCCTGTTCAAACTTTTTACGAAGAAAGTAATAAAAATGGATATTTCCTTTGATGCTTTCCTTGCTTTCATTTTTGTTTATCACCAGGATAATATTGATTGATTGGAGATGAGTTTGGTTACGTCATGCCTATTTCCCCGCCGAAAATGGAGAGATAAAAATCGGCAGATATTTTTTTTCCGGAGAGGACTGGCAAAAATGTATGACTTACTTATCTTGGTTCATTCGTCTAATTATAAACCATGCTTTTGAATTTCGAGTAAAATATTTTCAATTAAATTACCTGCAGGAATTCACATGAATTAAAGGAATAAGAATAAAGTTTCTCAATCCGTGCTATAGCACCAAATTATGCGTCCATCCAATTAAAAATGAGGTGAGGAATGTTTTGGAAAGTAAAAATTCTAAATTGGAGACTTTAATTCATTAGTTGCACTACAGCCCTTCTGAATTTTTGAATCGCTAAACAAAAAAGAAGCGTCGTACGGGGAAGTGCAGCATAAGGTTTTTTGATCTACTAATTTCAGAAATTTTCTCGCTTACTTTGAGACCTTCCATACCCCAAGCGCACAACTTATAAATATATATTTATTTTTTCAGAGGCATTGTTGAAGAACGTTTCGGTTTTCTACACGTAATTAAACCGAGACGTCAAAGAACATTTTAAGCAGATATCTATATTGCATTCTCGAAGAATTATTTTATGTATAAGTGTTGAGTGACGCACTGTTTTCGCCTCTGAAATTTTTTGGGTTTACAGTATTTGGTTCTATCAATCATCGTAGCGAAATCGGGTGGGTGGTCATTTAAAAAAAAAAAGGTGGAATGCAGTTGGATGCTACACCTTTAAAATCCAATAATTCAAAGTTTGCTTAAAGTAAAAACTTGAGCCAGTGTTCCCCAACCGGTGGTCCGCGGACTGCCCAGCAAATAATTTGTTACAGGGAGGGCTGGGCGTAACAGTTACGCGTTACGTTATGCATTTGTTATGCGTAACTGTTACGCCCAGCTTCTTCTGCTATGCCTTCTTTTTTTTGTGGAGTACTGAAACATTCATTTGCAACGCCTAGGGAATGCGTTTTTAATGCATGCTATAGTTACAACTCTACTTTGAGTAACACTTGCTGAAACAGGAGTCTTGTTCTACTCCTGCTGTTATACATGCATCCCGCAGAAACACTTTCGAGACCCTCAAAAAATGCGTCAAATTAATACAAAAGTTCATTATAACGTGTGATTAAAACATACTCTCAACTTGACTTCTTTTCATGCACCAGGGCTCTCATGCACGATCTAAAAAATTTGTTCCTTTTTAAAATTAATGCTTCATCGGGAAACGACGACAGAAGAAGCTTCATTGTTAAAGCTTCATCATGAAAAATGATTATTATTCCCGCGTTATATCTCGCAATACATTGCATACGCTGCATTCGGTGAACAATACACAATTTTTAGAAAGTCAAGGATTATTGGCTAATTACTTTGGAACAGTTTTCGTAACTCAAGCAGGCGTCGAACCTTTCGTTCAGCCTTGAAAGCGAGAACAGGTGACGCATATTGCGCTGGACACGCCACGCAACAAAATGTTCGGTCCGAACTCCGGCGAATTGTGATCGGTGTATTTTATGGAAGAAACTTTTCGGGCAATTCGTCACGAACTTCGGAAGTGGCTTTCCTCTATTTCTTTTTGAGTTCAGCGGCTAGATGGCTCTGGAAAAGTGGAAATACATGAGACATTCGAAGAGTTTCCGCCGTTCCAACTTAAAAATTCCCATTGCACGTCCACGGAGTACGATACATAGAGTAACCGCGAATTCCAGCATTTTCCGCACGCGGAACAATTCTTTACGAACTTCGTCGTGGCGTGTTCTGGAAAACTGAAGTTAACTTTTATCAAGTATCCTCATGTGCGCAGTAACTCACTATAGAAGTTGTTTCAATTTACATTAATGTACTGATAGTCGCGAAATTCAAGCTATTTCTTTTGTATCAACGTTCATTGGACTATCAATTGTTGATGAAAAGGGTTATGATCCGAAAGTCTCACTAATACTGCTGAAATACATACCTTATTGAATCTTAAATTAAATACTGGTAAAATACATGCCGCTGAATTAATTTCCAGCTATGTACGTTAGTCGTACAATTTGTTGATTTTCTACATTACACACGCTCATTTTTCAATTATTCATCCACGTAACTTGTCCTTCATCTACTGGCTTCACCTTGTGCTGATTATCGAAGTATACCTTGTTCGATTTCGAGAGGCATCGATACTTTATTCCTAATTTTCTCATCGTATTGATTTCATGCACCATCCAGTCCTTACACGAAGGGTATATACCATTAGTGTTGTACTCTTGTCATAAGTTAAAGAGTCATTCGCTGGCTCAATTCACACTCTAAAATGCGCAGGAGAAGAATATCCAAAATGAATTAGATTTGGAATAACTCGGCATTCAACTGATGAATATAAGACAAAAATCATTGGATACCGTAAAAATACGAAGTTAAAACCACTGCACAGTACAGTATTTGAATTGCGACATTTGGAGTTTTAGCTGCGTAATACAGTATGTGGCAGCATGTGAGAACAATATACTGTAGTCAGTTCGCAAATTATGGTCAGAAATTTAGGTTAATCTTGATACTGTTGCTGCCATTGCTCCAGGAAGTAATGAAGTGGTGTTCAATTAAGCCTGAAAGCCAGACTTATTTAGCGCCAGACAAAAAAGTTATCATGAATTGTTTCTATAGATTCCTAAAAGGAAAAAACCTCGTTTGAATACGCGTTCATGTACTGTGACTCCTGCTTTCATTTCAGGTTTTATACAAAATGTATTTCCTCTTGAAGACCATTGTCCAGTTCAGCTTTGGAAAAGCTCAGCATGGTCCTCGAATAAAAGACTTCATATTAAAATTGTTCAGGCAAAAGTCCTTTCGAAATGAGCTTCGGGTCCTCGAGCATGGTTTTTTCAGACACACTGAAAGCTTTTTGGGAAATGAGCTAAGCGTGATGAATTTCTGCAGCCGAATATAATCTCATTCTGCAACACGAGATTTTTGGCTGAAACGCATGCTATAAGACCAAATCTAAACTCTCAGTAAAAGCGTCAATTTATTCACGCAAAATTCAAAAAAAAAAGTTGTGTTCGAACACAACTTGAAGAGCGATTCAACTTTCACATCCACGTTCCTCAAAATTACGCGTAACACCCCCAAGCACGTTCATTCCCGAGATTCACATCAACGGAACACCAAAAGATTATCATTTTGTCAATGAGTCCAAGAGAAGAGCGTATGCGATGAATCAGGCTGTGCTACTTGCTGGACTCGATCTCCTCGACCTGCAATTTCTCATTGCGGAGTTCATCTCGGAATAAGACGTCAAAAGCAGCACCTAGGACATCACAAATCAAAATATCATTTCAGATGCAGCATCGAAGAATAATTCATACCACGTGGGGACCCAAAGCGTGTTCATAACCATCCAACGTAGACGTTTAAAAAATAACACAGAAAGTTTCAGGAAGCGTCCCGAGTTATTAGCCGAAATCGAATATAATCCGATGAAAAAAAGCGCAACGCCCACAGTAAAAAATTTCACATCGAATTCCCGATTGATTGTCGCAGTGTGTTTTTGTTGTTGTAACACGGTGAGATCTCAGCAGAAAAATGCCCACGAAACGATAATTAATTTTCTCGATTGAACTGTTGTCCACCTCCAACTTTTGATGTTGTACTGTACTTCGACGTTTTGAATGGTTAGAGAAGAGTTAACATGCTTGCCTCCATATACTGCATGAGGTGGATTGGTCTGTTAGTAAATTGAATTTATTTAACGTGCGATCGGTTAACATATGAATGGGCTCGCTGACACTATGGTAATTCGTTAATTTTTGGTAGAAGTAGAAATCGATTATTACGGCATCTTATAGACAGAGCCTGCATTCGCATTCAGTAAGACTTTACGCGGAAACAATGCTGCCCGTAAACCTCATGATTTCAGATTGAACGGCTTCATTTTCCCAAGATTTGTTCATTATTCACAATAAAGCACTTCCCGGTTTTGTGGTCAGTACAGAAATATAAGTACTGTATGTCAGGATCACAGCTTTTTCATATCGTGTGAATACAGTACAAATTCAAGTTTTACTAGGATTTTGTGCTTAGTCCGGTTAATCGAAATTGAACACAGAACGTTCCTGTACTTCCTGATGCGAAAAATATCAGTTTCAAAACGCAGTTCTTCCGCGACCAAACACCAAACGTCAAGTTTCAACATAAGAAATACGGAAGAGGAAAAAAAAATTGGCCATCAGAACTTTTCTCCAGATGCTTTCGTCCCTCAACCTTTCGTCGGGGTGCTTTTCTCCGGGCATCCAATGCGATACGGTCGTTTACACTGCTGCTGAATGCAATGCAAGAAAATACAGGTAATGGACTTACTAAAGCAGTGAAGGATAGGATGAGGGCCCCTCCGTAGAGCCACGGGAGGTTGAACAGCATTGAACCGCCCCAAAGGGGCCCGAAAATTATCCCTAAAAACGTGCAGAAGCGTCGAATTCCTTGTCCAAGTCCTGAAATCATTTTTCATATTATAGTAATACAGTATTGAAATATTCCGTCGAAGGAATTGCTTGGCGATAAAAGCTACCTTGTGCCCTCGCATCCAAAACGTGTGCAATCAGGGCAACCGAAGAAACCGACGTCGTCGCCACAGCCAGGAATAAAATCATACACGTCGCTCCGAAGGCATACAAAAGTTCTGCACGACCTGAATTCGAACAAAATTTCGCCACTGGTTAGGGTTTTGAAAAAACTGGAGACCATTGCATGAAGCTCACCTGGGGTCAAGTAGTAAGCCACAAACCAGAATCCACATAGTGAAATGTTCATCGCAATCGAACTAAAAATCAACCCGTGCTGTTCTGTGATGGTCCACCATTTCCCTTCTTTTTTCCCAAGAATCATCAGCAGAATTATGTAAACAGCCACAAACTCCACTCCTATGATCATGAAAAATATGCTGTTCTCAGCCGTCCCGTAATTGAAATATTCTTGCAACAACGGGGGTACAATGGTCTGAAACAAAATAAAAGTACGGTACATATTTTTTCCACGATACCTGGCCGACATTTTTTATACCTCCGTCATGGTCTGCATGAAAAGTGAGGTCATTTGCATGAACAGCAGAGCAATTATTGCCGGTCGGAAGAATTCTGGAATGCATAAATCGAAGAAACTTTGGTTATACAGTAAATGACACAATTGAATATTCATATAGAAATTCGAACCTAAATTCTAGATTCGATTACGTCACTAAAACTTGCAACTTGATATGACAGCAAAACGTTCACTCAAGCAGATGAGAGAAGGCGAACGTATTGGTTTACCTTTTTGTTCTTCAGGCACAAGGATTAATCGATCGACGATCGTCGCCAAAATGCAAAAATTTTCTATGTTACGTCTGATCCACTCTTTATTCCATCTTCGTTCCGCATAGAAATTGAGAAAAGATGGACTACAACTAGAAAATTCATGATTCGGAAAGAAACACATAATCTTATCTCATAAGTGCTGTGTAAATTGTAGGTGATCAATTGAACCTTACAACGACGAACACCGTATGAAAAAGCGAAAGATCGGAAATTTCAGGCTTTGATGTGGTGCCACAAATTTTTCCGATTTTCTGTAGTTGAAGTCATTTCCTGTAGTAGGGGCATATTTTACCAATTTTTATTTTTACATTTTATAACGTTGAAGCTATACTCATTCACAACCATTATTTAAAAAAATATATATAATCATGTTCATTCAGGCTCGGTCTTCCAACTCACGAACATTCTTGAAACACTTTCCTAATGAAGTCTTGATACAGTATTACATCAGCGGAGCTCCCATTCCTCGAGCAACTATGCATTTTGACGAAAAAATTGATAAAATTTAAATTAAGTTCAATTTATTGCATGTAAATTATGACAACTCAAAACGCATCAATCCTGAGTTCAGTGATACGAATAAAATTGTGCGAAGCTTTCACATACAGAAAATAAGTCCGCATTTTTCAGGTTCGCAACATCGACTATAGGGACTTCTTTGAAACTCTTCGAAAGCTATCGACAAAGGCTAATACCTTCCAGAGGCTTGATCCTGCTTCAATGAGCGTATTTTGCGCCAGAAAAAGGGTCAAATCACGATAAAAATAAAGAAGCATGTACAACATCTTTGGAAATCTTCGAAAGCTATCGACAAAGGCTAGTACCTTACAGAGGCTTAATCCTGCTTCAATCAACGTTTTTTGGGCCAGAAAAAGGGTCAAATCACGATAAAAATAAAGAAGCATGTACAACAGATGCACCTTTCTTGTACAGTTCACAATCTGCTCTTGGAATGTCCACGGAATCATTCGATGATTGCGAATCGGAGTTCTCCGATCGACCCTTGCTAGGTACCACAAATTCCACGGTTGAAGTATCGCCATTATCGATTTTCGGAGACGATGGGAACGTTTCGTAGCCCAGTTTCTCCTTCGACCCATTCTTCAGCACAAGAACTTCCTCGTGTTCATTGGGTTCTTCCGCTTCGTCGTCCGCGTCAATCAATCGCGACTTGTCTCCACCCTTTGTCAATAATCCCACTTTCTCATAGACACCAATCGGAGGGGGAGAATTTCTCGACTGTAAAAAGATTTTCTTGACGATATGATGAAAAATTCGCCGAGAGGATGTGGCACTCACGTGATTCTTGCGCTTCGAAGCTCGATCAGAACGTCGTTTCGTCTTGATCTCTTCCGCGATATTGAAGTAGATCAAGTAGACGAGAATTTCGTAAATAATCCATAGTATGCACATCACGAACCCGGAAGCTGACAACTCGTTCAATGCAAAAGTCACAGGCATTCCGAACATTGTCACCTGTTTGATTGAAAAAAATTTCAATTGGCGTCGAAAGAAAAGTAACACCCACGACACAACAAAAAAATTAAAATATACATTTTTGTTTCTTTAGTTTCTGCGGGTAGTCCAGGTTAACGAACTCTGCAATGATTTTGTCAGAACAACGAATTTTTTCTGGTCACTCGAATGCCGTTGAAGAGAGCCACTTGTATAGCATAATTTCAGGGATTCAGAGGAGTGCTTTCAGTATCTTTCGATTGGTTTCTTTAAATGATATAAAATTCGAAAGTTCCTTGAAATATTTTTTCCCGTAGTTATTCGCTAATTTGAATCAAGATGAACTATTTTTGTTCAATATAAAAGGAATCCTAGCTGAAACGCAGCGCTATACTTTTCCATTTCATCCTCGGTTCAAAACTGGAAAAATATTGCATTATTTTATCTGTACAGTACAGTTCTTACCTTTTATTTCGGCCATTTTCAGCGTGAACTTTAATTCGTGATCGCTTAATTATTAACCCATGTAATCTTATCATACGGTGTTTTTTTTTTGGCATGAAATTGACTTCCGCCGACGCAAGTCTCATCACATGCATCCTCTTATCACTCCATAAAAAGAGCATTCATGGGAAACATCTATCCCAGCATTAATACCATACATGAACAGCAACAAAAAGATAAAATTTCACTCAATGAATCTATTCACCAATAGGAATTTTCGATGGTTGTACTGTATGTTTATTTGGGCTGGGTGAAATTTGCAGAGGGAACTTTCCTTTTTTGCTTAAATAATTTTAAAATGCTTCATTCACGGTTCCGCCGTCACCCAATAAGGAAGTTTTCCGCACCGCACAGCGATTACTCAATAACCAAGAAAAGCAATTCTGCACGCGAGATTTCTCAAGCTTTTAAGGATTTTCTCCGCAGAAGACGCAGTATTTTCAAATTTCTGTGAGACAACAACGCGGAAGAGCTGAAAATCCATCATGCTCATAAGATGTCAAGTACAGTATGATCTTGGAAGCTACTGAAGTATCCTCAAGCGATGATTGATGAATAATGGAAGCGTCTAACGCTCTCGAAATCCTTCTTCGGAAATCATTTAGATTTTCGAAGGCTGAAAGGCTTTCAACAAGAATTAAAATCTTCTGATGAGCAGTTTCTTTTTCATAGAAAATACTGTACAGTACCATAAAGTCACATGAACTTCAGGGAGTTACTTGTTACATAACATCTGACGACAGACACGCGTACGAACACACTCACAGCTTCTCATACTTTCCAGTACATGTACCTTGTTAAAGGAAGGTGGGATACATTTCCTACAAATGATTCTTTCGTAATCTTGGCTATACACAAATCAAAGGCAGTAAAAGCATTTCAGGAACACTGTCAGTTATCCAGATCACTGAATAAAAAATACTGTACACAGAAAACACAAAAAATATTATGGGTACGTAGCGTGATCTTCGAAGTGCAAAACTGGAAAGCTCTAAGTTAGCATATAGTGAGCGCAATGAGAACAGTCACAGGTCAACGTAACCGTTCCAAGATGAAAAGCACCCAGACAATTAAAATTACCCCGACAAAAACGCTCAAACAAAAATGTTCCAGCGCAAAATCCATTTGTGATCGTGACGCAGAAGGGATGAGTCATGCCACATTTACTTGAGGCCCAGGGATATGAAGTTTCCTCTCAATTTTCGACAAAAGTGTAGATTTTTTCGAACATTACACTTGCGATCAATTGGAGACATTTATTTCGAAAAGATCTTTTTTGCTTTCAAAATCGAGTAATGAGATTGAGTGAACATTGCACATCACTTACCAAAATGGAGATTTCCGCAACAGTCCATTTCCCATGGAAGTCCAGGAAAAGTAAACATTCAATTTTAACATATTTATTCACTCTCAGTGGTTGTTTTCCTCAATATTACTTTTGTGGAGGTGATTTTTCCTAGAAATGCAGCGCAATACCAAAAGAATGGCTTCCACTGAAAAAAAAGTGTTTCCTTCAATTGTCTTGTTAATGGCTATCCACACTCAATTCACCAGAACAGAAACCGGTTTCTTAAAGCGTTATGTAACTCCATGGCGTGATCGCACAATACCAGGACAACTTCACGGCAACTACTGTAGTACAGTACGGTATAACTATGTAATGGTTAGAAATTTGTTGTACAGTCAAAACCCAATAAGCCCCCACCCTGGACAATCGCCATGTACAGTATTTCGAAAAACAAAGCCTCTCCAATGCCAAAAACCTTTTGAACCTTTTATAACGTCATCCGCCAAAATTATTGACAACTCAATAATCCCCTTCCAAGTACGGTACGTTTATGTTGTCTTTGATAGCCCACCAACAAGCATTCAAGTTTCCAGAGGTCTCCAATGAAAAAATGATAAAACAAAGATGACATAGTTTACTTCTCGGGACATAAGATGAATATACCTTACGTATCCCAGATTAAGATAGTCTTCTAGAATAAAGACTAATTTAATTTTCTATTATACTCGATTTTGGTACAGTATCACTTCAGCTTTTCCGATAAACCAACAAACCCCTTTTAAACCGCCACAAACCCCACGAGCAAATCGTGGCGACTTATCAAGGTTTGATCGTAGATGAGGAGAGCGTTTCTCACAACTTACGTCGTAAGAGAAAGTAGGCAAATGGCGCAGTACGATGTTGTACGCTGGTGCAAGTACGATGCTTATCTGACGAGTCATGAAGATTCCCGTGAGCACCCTGGACCTCTCGGCCGGCTCCGTCCCTCTGATCACATCAGCATACAAAGCGCTGTTCATTCCAACTCCGATACCTGCAAGGATTGTAGGATTGACTTCAGCAAGGGGTTCCACGACTCCAGCTCCGACAAAGAGGGGGTTTATCGGAAGGGGGTTGGGGGTTCAGTAACCCGAGAAGAAAAGGCGTCTTCGAAACATGAATAGGCAACGGCGGGAAAGGAAACACCCCTCGATCTTCTTACCCCCAGCTTTGCAAGTCGCTGCTTGCAATACAGTACTACACTTACCGACCTTGGAAAACGAAAAAAAATCAACGGATACCCACAGGCAAACCTGTACACGAAGTGAGTCACACAAATTTCAAGGGCAAATATGGCCGACTCACCGTTTACGAACCTTCCCAATATCAAGATGTGAGCATCGTTTCCGAGGAAATACAGGAATTGTCCCAAGATTTGGGTGAGATTCACGATCAGGGCGATCTTGCGTATATTATAAGTGGCGTCCGCTATTCTCCCCAGTATTAGCCCACTGAACATTCCGCTGAAGCTGAATGCTGGATAAGAAAAGAAGCTGAACTTCATAGATTTTCTGAATTCTACGGCGAATGTGGAGGTTTCAGTTTACCTGAAGTCACGTATCCCATGTACGTTTCATCGTGGATCCCTACGCTTTGGAGGTACTGCCAAACCGTTGGAAGGATAATTGCTACAAGTTCCAGAAAAAAACGAAGCATTTCGTGATTCTTCCAACAGGACGAAATTGGGTCATTGAATTAAACGCCGACGTCCCGGACTACTCGATTTTCTTCACCGTAATATTGGTGTTGCCTGAATTTCCACGGTCAGTTTCTTAGGTCTATGTTAGTTTAGATCAGTGTTTCACAGCAATTTCGGACGTGCGAACCCGCAAATTTCCAAAATATGTTTTGAAGATTGGCAAAGTTTCATGAAATTTTCACAGACTTTAAAAATTTTTGCTTGATAGTCTTTATGGCTGGTTTAACGAAGTTTATGCTTCTTGCAAAAATTAAGTAAAACACCTATGCAGCTAAAGCTGAATGTCATCAAATACTGTACTTAGAAAGGTGGGCTTTAGGAAATAGTTCCTCAGAATGAGAAATTAAAATGATGTATTTCAGCAGTTCAAAACATGTCAGAAGTGTTATTCGGAGAAAAGCCAACTTATATTTTTCATCAAATAATTAACGCCATTGTTTTACCAAAGTTTTAAATAATGCTAACAGAGTTCGTTGCAACTTTGAATGAATGTATTATGCTGAAAATTTCTCGCGGACCGACAAAGAACTTCTGCGGACCGGTGCTGGTACGCGGACCACGGGTTGAGGAACACAGGTTTAGATTACAGAATAAAGTTGGCCAAGTTGCACTGTTGCGTTCGGTCAAGTCAATTTCTGCCTGTTAGGTAATTTAGGCAGCCAATGCCGAAACTCCAAAAAGCCAGCCCAAGCATTACAATGAAAAGACGCCATGAGAAAATAAGACTGCACTGAAGAAAAACTAATGGAGCTATCCAAATTACGTACTCGGAGCGAACATGGTGCTCAACTATAGACACTGGAAAATTTGAATTATGATAGTATACAGCACAACCTTCATAGCATTACAATATTCGCGAGATAACGTCGTACAGTTGTACAATGCCTCAGTCAATTACACTCCAGTCCCAAGTTGATAGGCCTCTTACGGTTATGCATTAATAATTTTCTGTAGTTCATTCTTTTTCGGCAATACAGTATCCTACCACATCACTTCATCCTGCCGTCAAGACATTCGTTAAACGATTCTCAGTCACAGAACATTTATAAGACCAGGTTGTGATTTGAAGACAATAGGTTTCGCATGACTCACCGAATTCGGTTCCTCCAAGAAAATTTGCAAGGAAGACCAATGTGATGGTGCATTTCTTCTTCGTTTCGTAAGAAAGGCGACGCTGGAAAAACTTCCTGGGGGCCGCGAAGCAGGCGACCAGAAGACAAGACATGATTGCCGGACACGTCTGAACACTTGAATCACGAGCGAATTCACTTTCTAATCACGTGATATACAAGTAGATGCCGAACCGACATCAATCGCCAACAAGCACTCCTTTTTCCTCGTGGATTCAAAACCCAGGTAAGTTCCAAGTGCACCAAAATCGTGCATCACGCTGAACACGATTGGACGAACAAATACACCTGCAAATAAAAGATTGGAGAATTCCTGGTGAATAATTGCGGAAGTGTTCATAGCACAATTCAATCAGCCATCCATTCCATTAAAAACTGGAGGAAAAATGAAATGACACCCCGAAAGCCTACATTTCCTCACCATAAGAATTGGTCACCGTGATCGGCCATCCAGCGAAGTGCCTCGCAGGGAAGTGAGCGTGCTCGGGCTATTCGCCGACTTGCTCGGTCCCGCCGAGTGAGGCCTTCAGAATGTGCGGACGCCTCTTGATAGCATCTGTTCCAAAACACCACCTGAATAACATGATAATTAGTGGAATATTTGATACACGGAGCAGAGTCATCTCGTCATCAAGAAGATTTAAAATTTCGATTAACATGTTTAAGCCCGATATACGAATTGTTCTTTTCCTTTCCGACTGCGATCAACCCAGGCTTTCGTGGGATTTTGCGGCGTTGACTATCAGCGCTTCAGGGTCCTCAGCTGGCCAGCTGCGCATGACAGTGGGACAGGGACGAGACGCTCCGGCTCGCTGTGCTGCCACAAGCGCCAGGATTGTATCACCAGGTCGTTAGTGCCTGAATCAGTTTACAGCTTAATCAATTCGCAATTCACGTGAGACGACGATTCGAACCCAACGATACTTAGTGCATTTCGTGCTCCTGAAAATGCACCGTCTGTCATTCTTCTCCGGAATAAGTTAGAGTGGACGGACATGCCATTGATGAACATAACCAGATATCGGTCATGCGTACAGCGACATCTACGCCGTCCTGACAATTTTACTCATTTTCGATATCAGAGTGGCCGTCCTGCGCGTCGCCCTTCCACCAATCGCCACCGGACAGTCTGGATTACCTACTGTAGTTCTAAACCATTTCGGTCCTCAGCAGGGAAATCATCTTTCAACTACTGTACAAAATTCTGGTGCATGACAGGACTGAACCGCTTCCGTAAACGTGTCCACCCCTGCTCTGCAATTTAACTGGACATTCACAACAGCGGAGTGAGAACTTTTGGTCTGAAATAGGATTTATGGTGTATAACATCCGAAAACAGTAATCTTCCAACACTTCGCAGCTCTTCCCAATACGTCTCAGCATATGCACAATACCGTATTCCTATGAATGTAGCACATTAATAAGACATCGAAGATCTGGTTCTTTCGAAATTCTCAGATGCAGCAATACCCACTACATTGAACATGAGATAAGTTCGAATGCCCAGGCAAATAAGGCGCTCATATTTGCATTTCAACGCCAAATGAATACATCACTCTCGACAATAATGCTGGGGTTTGGGATACACAATGCGTTACTATCGTGATCAACATCAGAAAAACCAGTTCATAATGTAAAAGACAATCCTAAAATCCCGTCGAATATCCGATCCAAATACCGCATTTGTTGGTCAGAAGAAATCATGAAGTCTCATTCGACCAATCAAAAAGATTATCATCACAAGTTTTTGACTGAACGAACGAGATCACGATTTCATCTCAATGACCTGTGAACAGAAGTTCGTTTGGATAACGGAAAATGCAATTCATACAACACAAGAAGATACGCGGAGACCGAAGGATCACAAGCCTTTGTAAATAAACGCTGCACATTTCACAATAGGCACCGAGGGTTCCAGTCGGCCCACTCAGCACCACCAAGACGAAAAGTAGTTTCCCCAACCTCAGTACCAAATGCCGCAAAATTTCATTTTGGCCCGTGGATAGAGATACAACGTTTCGTCATGCATCTTCCTTCCGCTGGTCCTTCTACACTTTCGAACTGCGATCTGAAAAAAAATGAATGAGGAACGCAGCTTAGAGTTTACGTAATGTTTGGGCCGTCTGAACATCCCAACCCATATAATGGATCCCTCCTCCATGGGAGATTACCGCTTTCATTCTCACATAAGACACTGATCTTTAGATGTTCAGAAGTGCTTCACGCGTAATACAGTCGATGTCTCGAATCCCCGCAGTTTCAGAAGCGTTGATCACATAGTCATCGGAGTGTAGCGTCTACTTAGTTAGCCACAAGCCAGATTTACAGTATGATTTCTGCGCGCTTGGAAGAGTGAGAAGAATTCAGGAACTGCGAGCCAAAGGTGTTATAAATCAAGACGCTATTTTCATTAAGCCTTCCACAGAAGAGGCGAGTCTAATTTTTGATTATAAAAGCTGTCTCTAAAAATCCGTGAATAACTTTCTTTCGGACCATCACCAGAAGAGGGTACAGAAATAGTGTACTGTAGAATGAAACAGGACGACTACGTGCACTCATCGCAGATCGAACAAAGCAACACAGAAAAAGAAGAAAAACACGGAAGGGAGATCGCAATGGAGACACAGGCCGTTCTCAGCCATAAAATGATTACGAAACGAAATCTTTCGGCTACCTGGGCGTTACCGATTAAGATACCTATATTCGGCGCATTCAAAAAATCTACTTATATGTCATTTTTGGACTTCCGCGTTCGTCACATACAGTATTCATAATAATAAGAGCTAAACAATACGTACCGTGCTCTCAAGAGAGTTCAGACGAATGTTCCCAGTTCTCGACAGAATTTCTCAACGCAGATGCTGATATCCTCTCTATTTGTTCATCAAGATCGTCGTCGGGGTTAATACAGCAGTAGTTCTGACGGGCCTCAAGCTAACACTTTACCAACACAACACCATGGCCAACTGCTGAGTGAGGCCTTTCAGAACGTTGCTGGACTCAAGGATTCCTCTTGTACAAGAGACAGCTCTTCCAGTGCTGATCATTACTCATTGATACAATTAGTGGCATCCCCATATGTCCAGCGAAGAAGGAAGGTTAGTCATTTCAAGTTAAAGGGAGGTGTGCTGGAGAGAATTAAAATGGCCGCATGATCAAGTAACGGAATATTCGTGGAACTTTTGAGGGTATAGGTTAATGGATTGCGCAATTCTGCAGGGTGGAAAATCTGAACGAAGAATTCGACGCTTAGTTTACTTCATACGAATTAGAATAGATTCAAAAATCACTTGATCACTGTAACTCGTCTGGTTCAAAATTTCACCATTTCAGATGGCATTCGCGGTAAGACCTAACTGAAGTAGCTCCCATTCTCGTTTAAGCGAAATTTCAGACATCATCGTCTTCAGGTAATGCGGATCATTGTGGAATGACATATAAGCGCGTTAATTCAGGGTGAGGATCGTTTTATAGCATCATTTAAAATGATTAGAGAATCATATCTAACTTACCCTCCCAAGTTCGGGTTAAAAGAAACTTCGCCGCGGTGGAGAGTTACAATCTTGCTCGGTGGGCGAATGCACCCCACACCTTTTCTCAGCGTGCTCACTGAATGCTTCGACTTGAATGATTAATGCGAAAAACTTTTCCAGTCTCCTGGCCATAATGCACAATATTCCACATCGAAATAAAATTGACCGTCCTTCGAGCCCAAGATTTTTCCACCAACCACGTAATCAGACATCTTTCCTTGTCAGCATGCGACATCTGACATCGCACATCTAGAATAGCTCTCACTTACTCGGCAATCCAATCGTAGGACTCGTATGCTGTACTTCGCTGGCCAAGCATTTCGCAGTAAAATACTGTACTGCACGTAGAACGTGACTCAGCCCATCATGCGTAACAGCAAGATGAAGCACGCGTTAACATCCCCAATACTCAAAATCCCATCCTATCTAACATTCAACTACGTCATTTCCGTTGCAAAATATATACAACAAGCATATAACCGCGAAAAAAATCATGATTTCAACTCATCAACCAGCACGGCGGCCGCCGAAGGACGCTTTCGACGCAACGTAACCTATTCCATTTCGCACATATTCAGAAAGCATGCAGATCATTGGAAATTACGACAATTTCAAGGTAGAAGAATGGTACTAAAGTCTCATGCGACGCGCAGACCATCTGAGATGATCAAGCATGCACGATTCGAAAGCGTACGTCGCAGCGCACAAGAATATTTCGATGCATTGGCCCTTCCAGCCATGCTTTCAGTTTGAACTCGTTCCTCGAAGCCTGCACAGCAAATAATTCGTTGGATATATGACATATCAGCCAAAATGCATCGAAGCAACACCAGCAAAAGCCGCAAGTTCGCCGAGCGCATCATGAACAAACGATCGATGAATGTACGGCTTTTGCCGATCGGCTCACGAAATCCTGCTACTTCCATTGCGGCGATGACTTCACATGCATGAATGCAGTGCTGTGGTTGGGAAACCTCGCAGTTCTCGCCTGCAGGAAATTCTCATCAGAAATCCAATCACACCATCGACATCCGTCGAGAATTTCCGCAAGAAATCACGCGAAGATGATACCAGAGCTGATGAAGCCTCCTCTCACGGGCGCATTCTCGCAATGATGGTTGGCGGAAGCCTCGTCCACTGAGACCATGAATATCGTTTAGCAGTACTGTACAGCACTTCGAACTAAATGATAGCTCATCACATACACTATATATGCAATCGCGAAGGAAGATGAGATTTAGAAGTCAGATGCTGGTGAACAAAATAAGCACGGGAACTTACGGAACGAAGTTCGGAAATTTCGCGATTTTTCCACCAAGCCTCCGACTATACTCAAGCTTGCAAACTAAGCACGTTCCCTTGTCGGCTGCAGAACTGCGTTTCGAGTCGTATCACGCCAAAACGGACGCTCCTCTGAAGCTACACGCGATTACGCACCCCGCACAGATCAGGTGTTATTCTCGCTAACCCCTGCGGACAATGAGCAGTGCCTCTCACAGTCCCGCAATAAAAGTTAGCCCGAATTCAGATACGTTTTCATATGTAAAATGTGCATGACATCTCAAGTTTCCACAAGATTTTCATGAATAGCTGGTTGTACCTCTCCTGCATGAAAGTTCCGTTCGAACAATCCGCGAAGGAGCAGCAAATAAACTGACTCACCAACACTAGACCGATCCCTAATAAACCCATGACAATCACCTTCAAGCGCAATTTTCGAAAAAGCGTAGAACACAAAAACTGAAACATTACAGAAGGGAAAGCAACCAACACGGAACGCGTCATTGAAGAAGTCCTGGCCAACAATCACTCACTACAAGAAAAAATGTCATCACGCGTCCGCTACGGCATGATCAACGTGAACGCAGAATTTCAAGATTTCTCACTTAATGCGAATGCACAGGATGTGCCCCGCGATACTGTACCATTCGTCAGGATAGCAGTGAGATCGATCTCCCGAACAGCTCCTACCGTCGCAACTGGGAAGCGCAACTGCCAACAATATCGAAACGCTTATTAAAATCTGGAATATAATAAACGTTCACACACTGTTTGCAGTTCTTCGCCTCGCATTATATTCCAGTCAAGCCGTGTTAAATCAGCCGGTCAGTGTGCATCACCTATCACTCAGCCGAACTTGCAATTCATCACAGTAAGTAGTGCCTTGTCCACGAACTCCCTGACGCCTCCTGGGGAAGAGAACAACCTCTCACTGCGCAGTTCATGCCTCGTGAACTACCCCTATTTATGCCCATGACCAACAACGCGCCTTTTCCTAACCACCGACAGACACGTCACCAAATCTAGGCCGAAAACCTGCAAGCCGTTTGGGATACAGTATGCAGGAAACGCTCGAGATGTGCCGCCGATTTGGCGGCATCCGCAGAGCAAGTCTTCATGCAGTAGATCCTATAGCTTTCCTTATTTTCAGGAGCCGAATCCCTGGCGACATCATCAATGTCGCGTAAGTGCGTAACCGACAGACGTGGGTTCTTCCTGAAGTTTTTCACTCGTGTGAAAATCCCCACATATCTCCTTTTCATTAGCTGAAACAGTGGCCGCATAAAAATTCACACATGCTTCGGGAAAAATTAAATAAAAAACTTCATGTTTCTTGAGGATAAAAAAAAGCTTCGAAAAATCACACCTGGTCTAATTTTGTTTCAAAAATGAAAAATCCGGTATGTTAAATTAAACATATTGCCTGAATTGAGAGCTATTTTCAATATATGCTCACATTGGAAATGTTGGATCAAAAATGCTGTGGTCCACAGCAATACCTTACAATACCTTGAATATGGAGTAAGTGCAGATTTTATGCAGTATTCTAACTTTGTATTAGGTGCAGTACAATATTCATACTTGGCAATATCTTGAGCCATTATTGACAGGACACAGGTCATAAATTAGCAAGCAGATTCCTATGCCATGTGAGAGGCTGAGAGCAGAGGGATGCAGTGTAAGTATATTTCCACTTCCAGAGCCTTTGTCAAAATCTGCAGAGTTCCTCAAGTCACTTACATTTTGAAAACTCTTCCATTAATTCCTCTTTGAACTGAAATGATCTCAGAAGTGTTCTTGAAATGTAGAGTGATGGGGAGAAGACAAAAATAATAGCTTAAAGTGTATACAACAATGACCATTTTAGTATTCTCCAGATACCAGCAGGAATACTGATGCATAGTGCTTCAAATATGCAACAAACCCTTGCCTAAAAGTTTGGCATCCTTTTGAATAATTTATGAAGCAATTTAAAGAACAGAGTATCATCATTTTGGATATCCTGCTATTTTTCTATCTTCTATAACATGAAAAAATGCTTGTTTGCCCCAACTATTGAAACCTCCTAAACTCAAAACCTCTTTCATCTGATTTTTTCGCTGGTCCCTTGAAATTTGACTTCAAGAGGTTTGACTGAGCTATAAATTATATTCATGAAAGGATTATTTTTGATTGTCCTCAACCCTGACAGTCATCATGTGGAAAAGCATTGAATGCCTTCATTGCTGCAGATTATATGCTTATAAAATTTACTTAATGATGATAAAGTTCAAGAAATAAACAGATGAACAAATTGGGCCTTGTCTTGAAGTAAGTTTCGGATTCGTTACTGTTTATCCACACGTTATCCAAAGTATTCTATATAGTAAAGTGGTTGAGACCTAATTATGAGGTACAGTATTAAACTTCGGGATAGCTCCCTGTTCCGCGGTAGAAATGAGTTTTGCTTGGAACAGTTGTTATAGTTCCGCCAACGACAAGTTGAGGGGTTAGCAAGAAGTTGGGCAGGATGCACATAAAGCAAATTGTCAAGGCTTCGGCAATAACCAGTAAACGTCCCCCTGAAACGCATCATATCCGCCGAAAAGGCACTAACGTCCCATTTATTTCTGTGAATATTTGAAGCTTTGCTTCGAGAGGATGGAGATTTTTGTTCCCTAATGCCCTGATTTACGATCCTTCCGAAAAATTACCCGTAAATGCATTTCGGTAAAGCGCGTTCTCTTTCGTGTGAGGCTGAGTCAACCGTTCTTGGATGCATTACTCCTTTATTCCAGATCAATGCAGTAGTATCTCGAACTTATCCTCGCGCGTTGCGGAAAAAAATCGAATATCCAGGTTAAAAAATATTTTCATGTTGAGCAGAAAATAAATCATCAGAAAGTGCGAAAATTAATGCAAAGATCAGATCAACCGAGAGTCTCATTTTTCATGGATCCCGCGACGACCCTTCACGCGAAAAGACGGTAGGGGAATAGAATTGTCGGAGAGTTTCTCGAGGAAAGCAATCGGTTCTCCGCGATCAGCCGGAACTTTCCGTCCCAAAATCTTCCTTCGATTTTCCTCATTGGGTACAATCGCTAAAGTATTCGCTGTGAAAATGTCTTTTGGTCTTCGCACCTGCTTTGCGGTTCCCGTCATCTGGAACAGGAAAAAGAGAAAGAGAAGATGTCGTCAGAAACGTAACCAGATTCACGTCACAGCTCGTGTAGAAATCTGCTCTAAGACTGGTCAAATTGCATGGAGGTGAAAGGCTGGCTTTCACATTCGCACGCACCAGGGCGCCAGCGCGAGATTTGAGTTCACGAACACGTGGCGTTGTACCTCAACATTCATAGCATTTTAGAAATCTTGAATATCGTCAAGGCAAATCATGTGAGACTATCAGACAAGATTCTTTAGATCTTTTCACGGTTTTTCCGTTTTCTTCGATGTCGCGACTCCCGAAGTTACCAGGTGCGGAGAATGCGGAACAATCGATCTATCGTTTCCTCCTTGTACTAATAGATGTCGCTAGCGCATGGTCCCTCAAAACAGAAAGTTCAATACAGTACTATACATCGATATTTCTATTGTACCTTCATTGGAATATTAGTCATACAAATCGACGCCGAAAAGAAGCACTCATTTTATATTTCACCAAAAGAGAAAATAATCGAGGAAAGACAAGCTTCAATGCCGTATTTGTTTTTTGAAGAATCAATAAAAATATTGCTTCTCAAATAGAGCTGGCAGAATTTTATTTTTATTTCTCCGCTTGAACCGAGACGGTACGACGATTTTCAGTCGATATTTTTTAATATTGTGCTGAAAATTTTTTTTTTACCATTCTGTATTTACTTGACTATACTATATGATCTTGAGTAAAACACACACCCAGATTTTTGTCTACAATTTTAAGAAATCCTATTTCCCCGGAGTAAGATGCACACCCCATTTGTTGGAATTACAACTGCAACACTTTTTTTTCAAAATTAAGTGTCACAAGAATTTCAATTTTGATGCTAATTCAACATTTTTAATGATTCTGATTAAAAAACTATTCGTCAAAATTGGTCCAAACTCCTAACTGGAATCCAGTATGATGCTAACTTGAACTTGTAAAAAAATGTTCGAGAATTTATCCCTGACCATGACATGCACCCTCTTTATACCTCGCAATTTTGAGGGAAAAGGTGAGTGTGGTATACTCAAGTAAATATTCTTTTCATTTGAATACTTACTGTGAACTTGAAAAAAATGTTAGTCATGAGATTCCATTAAACAAAAATGTTTCGAAGTACGTTGGTATAGTCAAACCCTGCAAATCATCGGAAACCTTATTAAATCGCCATCCTTCAAAAGCTTTGGCCAATCAATTTTGTCTTCAGTAGCCTGCCAAAAATACAAAAATTTCCTGAAGAGGTCTCATCCAGTTAAAGAAAAACACACACAAACACAAAGATTAAAAAATTACTTTTCGGGAACATTAGCTAGATTTAATTCATGCATATCGCAGGGTTGTTTGGATCATTTTCTAGATGTGTAAAAATTTTAGTTATTACTATACTAAATGTCCCTTTTAGTTTTTTTGGAAGGACGCCTACCCCCTGTAAACCACCACAAATAACTCACGAACAAATGGTGGTGGCGGGTTATTGAAGTATAATTGCTGCTCTAATAACAAAAAAGCCTTACATGCGGTTTAGTAGTACTAGTACCAAAGCGCCCCAATCTTAAGATTGCATTTGACAGTGACAGTAAAACCTCGTACATCAAAAATACGGTACCTCAGCGGGTTCATCTGCTGCAACCAGGAAAGGCCACGCATACGCAAGGGCTGTGTTGGCAGCATTTGACGTCTTCATGTTGTCATGAGCATTGGTGCGAATCAACGTCATGTTCCTGAGACACAAGCTGCAACGACACGTCATTTCGTGGCCCCAGTCAGTCAAAGTGTTGCGTGCGATGATCTCCCGCTGTTCCACGGCGCCAAGCGTTGCAGGATTATGGATCACTTCGTCCAGTCCCTCCACCTGTGTACCGCAAAAACCAAATTGAAAGAAAACCTGCCATTGTTCCGGTCTTGCTGATGTGACAACTCTGCAACTTAACAGAAAATGGCGTTCAGACGTTCCCCTCTTGTATAGGTATTCTTCGTTTCTGTCAAAGTGCATTTTCATGTATCGAGAGGACACATATAAGGAAATGACATACGAATCTCTTGAAGTACGACACGCACGTTTTCCCCCGCACAATATGGAGCAAAAAAGAAAAAGAAAAAAAGAGAGGCAGATTCGCGCGATAGACAGGGTAAAAAACTTGAAAACTTCAAGAAATTTAGGTGCATGCGTAATGAAGGGAAATTTGTGATAAGCTTCGGCTCATGTTTCAAAGTTGAATTAATTAAAAATACTATAGATTGTAGAAAAATACAGGAAGAGGAATAGAAGAGCAAATAAAATCAGGTTCAATTTATCTCCAAATAAAATTTCCTTTACGATTTAATCTGGCAATATTACAATTCATGTAGAGTACTGCTGAGCAGTGGTATGCAGGTCTTGTGATTTTTGATACCTTTTTTTTTGCAAAATTTTAAGTCTAATAAGTTTGGTGCCCGTCTTACACAATGGGAAGTTTTGCTCAAGTACTGAAGTACATTATAAACATGGTACTTGACTTGGACAATTTCACCTTGGAAATTCTCTTGTGTGATTATGTCGATAACATTTTTCAATTTACGACCTTCATTCCCTGTCATTTAGGAATATGTGGAGAGGAATTCCCGAAGAACCCATATAATTTGCTTTTTTTTATGTTTCGGTGACTTGCAAATTCCAATGCCCAAATTGTATTTTTCGAAAAATTCAACCATAATTGCTGGTCGGCGCAGATGCTATTAGTGTTGATTGATTTCATATCAACGATTATTTGTCCCAACTCGTGATCGTATTGATGAATGTAATCACATGACATATCACTCGAAAGGCTTGAATGCGTGAAGTTGACATAAGAATATGAATGTATAAAACAGAAAATGTGCAGCACAAATCTTTTTCAGCCGATAGATTCGTCTCATATTATGAACTTTTCGTCTGACATCCTCGTAATAAGCACATCACATTTCTGCAAACCATCTTTAAAAAGTAATAAATGGCCCTCATCTGGCACGATTTGATGAAGTGATTTGCGAAAAAAGCTTCCAGCAGAGTCACGACATATAGTATACAGTATTGAGCTGCACCTTCTCGGTACTTCAGATCAAATTTTAGTTCACTTCAAGGTCTACTTGTACCTAACCTTTAACCGTGTCCATCAGGAAGTGTTCGAAGTACCGGTCCAAGGAAGATACTATGTACGAAATTCAGCAGCAAATATAGTCATGGCAGTTCGACGAAACAAAGCATTTTTTTTTTCAAATCTTTATTGGCATATAAATCAAGTGCTTCTCATCCTTTTCAAAAGTAAACTAAGAACAAACAACGTGATTATTTTCGGGAACGGAAAAGTATACGCATTTAATTTAGGGTGATTTGTTGGGCAAGCTGTCAATCAGAAAATGCCCGGAAATGGAGAGAAACTACCCAGAAGAACTAATTCTTCAAATCAAGGCTAAAAGTAAAAAAAATTGATACAGTACAGTATATCTACTCGCTGTGATTGTAGGGCTTCAAAAATATTGCTCAGGAGTACTCAGGACCTTCAGAAAGGTTTTAGTAGTAGGCTGGTCTCGGGGACAATTAGAGTGTAGATTACCCACAATCCAAAGCATTAAATCGAAGCATTCATGTCTTCGAGATGCCTCAAGATATTTGTTTGCAGCGGTATACGTCCCGCATGATGGCAATATGGGTCCTGGTACACGTACAGGAACTATTCGCACAACAGACGGGGCAGAAAATGATATGCTTCCCCAACTATTGCGAAAATAAGTAAGCAGAACGAACTGCCAGAAATAAACAGAAGTAACAAGCGTCGAAGTCAATAATTCGAGAATAAATATCGAATGCTAAGGTAACGGATGATTCACGATTATAAGGTGGAAAATGTATGTGCGTGATGAAAAAAGCAATAAAAAAGTGGAATGACCAGGAATATGTTGCAATATTACCTGTAGAATGATGTGAGCAAAAATGTCAGTCTTTTTCTATAAATAATGTCGCCCTAAAAGAAGGAATAATTGTCGACAAAAATATGCCCTAATGTTCAAAAACGTTGAAGGGAAATAATGTTCTTCATGAGAAATTCCCCGACAAAAATGGTGATGTATCTCAATGATCGAAGGTTAGTAATGTTCGTCAATTTTATGTTAGTTATGGGAAGTCGTTATAAACGTGTCAGCGAAATGGTTAAAATTGACTCCAGTAATTTTCGAGTCGAACTCCAAGGGACCAGTAAAAAACATTGTCCAGGAGTTTTCGAGTGCTGAAATGGTTGTAGCAAAAAATATTCCTGGAAGTTATAATTAATGAAATCTTGGGCTTTACATCACTGGATAAATGAGTTTTTAAAATACTGAACTTGAAGGAAAGGGCAAAATAGTCCGATTATTATCGCATTTTCTTTGGAGAAGCAAGTTACATTTTTATTGCTTTTCTTTCATCTTGGGTCCCTGGAATAATAAGGTTATTTTCCAAAATTACATGTACACAGATTTAAGGACAGTCTTGAAGTTTCGTCCTCAATATTTCATTGTTCCCATTTTAAAGGGAATTCAGGGGCTAAAGAAAATTTTGACAATGGGATACTTTCCACTCAGGTTTGATTTTGTCAGGATCATAACTGATGGAATGTAGTAGGTTTTATTTACCTGTATACAGTGTGCAAATATTTTTCAGGGACTCGCATCTTTCACACAACTTCTGCTGAACCTCATCAAATACTCTATAGAAGTGTCCCCCAACCCATGGAAAAACACAAGTTGGGGTTATTTTTTAGTAAGGATTACTCAGACAAATTTTCACCGGCTGAAATAAATCATTTTAATTTTCATTCAGAAAAACCTTTTTCAAGCCCACCTTCCTAATTTTCAGAAGAAATTCCTCTAAAGCAGCTTCTTTGGAAAGTCAAGTTTGTTACTACCTGTACCTTGATTTTCAAAAAAGCTTAAAATGTTTCAATACAGTATTTCAAACACNAAAATAACATCTGCTTGACCTACATCCAACGTCGAATTTGGACTGAGATTCGCCAAAAGGTTTCTTGTGTTTGTTCGAGTTCAGACCAGAATCAATACATCAAGTCTTGACGTGGTCGAGGTTACTTTCGTTTTATTGATTGCCTATTTTTTTTTATAGAAATACTTCATTTTACTCTAGTTTGTACAATTTATTAGGTTTACTGAAACTAGACGTAGGTCAATGACGTCTATTAAGATAATCTATTTCGATTAATGTATGGTATGAGCGGGAATCACTTATTCAATCAATGAGTTGATTCTTGATCTTCCCCAGCAGTTTATTTCAGTAGAAGACGAGACATGCCGTGTACTTTATTTTGCAGTTTTGAAGGTGCAACCGCTGCCGGTGTACTGAAGAATGGCATGCATTTTGAAATTTACCGAATATATGGCTGGCAGATGTGCGTAAATCAGCACAGTCCCTTCCCGAGTTCCATATTTGGGGGAATAATTTATGCAATTTGGGAGGTTTTATTCTTGCAGCGCAGAGGGAACTCAAAAACTTTTTGGAAGAGTATGTCTTACCAATAAATGGAAAGATATGGAGGGAATAGCAATAAGAATTTTCTTCCCAAGATAACATCTGCGACTCATTTTTATGAAAACGGCATTTATCCGTTTCCTGGGGAAAACTGAGGATTTTACTTGAGTGCATCCTCCAATTTTTTTTCCATCTATCTCGAAGTTGACGTTTTTTTCTACAGTATTTTTTCATCATTGGGTGCACATATGGCATATTCCAACTCATTGAAGTTATGTTTAATTTTTTTGTAATCTCTGGAATGCATGGAATGTAAAAATAAATTAGCCCTGTCTCTCAGGGCTAATACAGATGGAATATCTCTACAACAAAACATAACAAGCATCTTCACATTTTTGTAGAGTAATTCTTTAACATGGGAAGTGACCACTATGTGACCAAAAAATCATTAAAAAATTTATGAATTATTGAACAACACAGCTAAACTTATCAATTTATACTCAAGAAAGGAAATTGATTGCATTCAATTTTCTTCTCTCATACAATTGGTCGGCAATGTGATCCAATTAAGTATAATGCATACAAGGATACAATTATTGGAAATGTTTTTACTTTAGTATGACATGCACACCAAATTTGTTGCTTTCAATGTTGGGGGCAGGGGTGTGCAGGATACTCAAGTAATTATGCTACATTCCCAATACTGTAATATTTATGTAATATTTATTTGTAGTATTCTGACATTTATGACATACTGTAAAAATTCATTGGGGCAAAATGTAGATGACCATGCCCAAGCTTAAAAAGTAAAATTGTTTACCAACAAAGCCCTTCTTTTCTTATGCCCAGCATTCCACAGGTATAGAAATGAGCTTCTAAAACATTTGGGACTCTTGAAATCATTTGAAGAAACTCTTTCCAAAATCTTAGAGGACCAAGATAAACTGTTAACTTTATATAATTTCTCTATCAAAGATTCTCTCCAAATCTTTTAATCAAACAAAACTTATTTGGGATCATGCTGACAATATTGTGCTTTAAATTGGGTTCTGTAATTGCCTTATGCTTGAAATTTTTATTATTGATATTTTGCTTTTTATTGCGACAGTGAGGAAATGGTATGCATTAACATCAGTTGCACAATTGTACATTTTAAGATGTATTTTCTTTTCTTTTAATATCCATGTGCAGCTTATTTGTCTAGTTTCCATTCTGATGTGATGGAATGTGTTTGGATGAATGTATGCGGAAAGGGGAGGGTGTTTGGGTGTGGAAACATTGCTTATTGAACCTCTTGAACACTGGAAAGCAGATAATAAAGCTTGCAATTCAATTCAATCAATTCAACAAAGTAATTTCGGCCACTAAAAAAGCTTTGCTATGAAAAACAATGGCTACTGCAGAGGGGACTTGAAGAAAAATTCCTCAAAAGCAATCATTTGTCAAAAATACAGATACATTGTATCAATATTTTACTCAACAGTACATCCTTTTTTTGCACTGATATCAATATTTCT